TGCCTTCTGTGACCTGGGCAGTGTGGCTCTCTAGAAGCACAGATCCTGCTGTGCAGAACCATCACATTCCTTCATGTGAACAACCTGGTAGGAATCAAAAATCTAAGCAATAGCAAATAATTATTCCAATAAAGAAATAAATTACAAAAGTCTACAATGGTTATTGAATAACACTTACTTCGTTTGTTCATTCTTGCGATCTGTTATTTAAAAAATAAATAGAAGACATTTTATTTTTTATAAGCCCCCACCCCTCCAGCTTTCTGATGCTCAGTCTTGCAAAACACTTGCCAGCAGCAAAAATTTTAAGTGTCTTTGTGTATCAGCGTGGGGATGAAAACGTACCACAATTTCTCAGCACCCCCTAATAACCTCCACGTCTGAGGTTAGACTGATTTCACACACCCCTTTCACCCGTGCCCACTGGCATCTGTCCCTCAGCCCCCTCCTGGGGGTTCATTTCACCACGGCCTGGGCGAGGGCATAGGAAGAGGAGTTGGTCTCGAAGTAGCACTCCAGCTGCCCGCAGAGTGCCTCGAAGGTGGGCCGCCCGCCTGCCTCCGCGCTCCAGCACTGCAGCATCAGCTCGTAGAGCGGCGTTGGGCAGGTCTCTGGCTGGGGAAGTCTGTACCCCTTGTCCAGCATCTGGATCACCTGGTGTCCTGGCATACCTGCAAGCCAAAAGGAGTTCGTCGGACTACTCGGGATCTACTTAGTGACTCCTATCTCTTACAGAGACGAGGCAACAGGATGCCCTCCCCGTCCATGAGGCACATGTGCAGGCTGAGGGCAGAGCTGGCCCTAGCAGACCCCCTTCAATGGCAACAGGACACAGGAGGCACTGGAGGATCCCAAAACAGCAGTTAAAAGCCAACTCCAGCCCTTCCCAGTCTCTTCGCCCCAGCTGCAACACCTGAGAGGCATAGCAAAAGGGTCCATTGGGGTGTGAGGCTTTTCCTCTGCCACCTGGGTTTGCCGAAAATTTTCTGACATCTATTTCTCTTGAATTGTTCCTAAATCCCTCTAGTCTCAGTGACTCCAAAATCTCCAAAGAAAATCTGTCCTGCTGCTGAAATTTCCTCACATTTAGAAAGTTTTCCCTAACGTCAGCCCTAATTTTCCTCTGATGCGGCTATGCAATGGCATCCTGCCTGCTCTGTCACCACGAGTCATGGAGAAGAAACCACCCCCCTACCTTTGCTATACCTTTATATATTAAGACTATTGTCCCATTCTCTTTCAATTTTCTTTAAATTAAATCTTGAATTGCATAATCGTTACTTCTTTTCCCTGGATCTATGAATGGCATTTCCTCTGTACATTACCCACTGCCACCATGGATCAACATAACCTCTTCTCCTAACTGATTACTGAAGACAAACTCCTGAAAGTAATATCAAGTAAGCAAGTAGTCATGGCAAAAGGACATTTTCTATTGTAAAATTACAGGTAAACTATGCCTTTGGCAAGGGATAATGCTGAACATATTTTCAGACAATACCGAGAATCATGGTGTTACGTATCCTTTATACTTGAATAGTTTATTTACCTTTGTGTCTGCATATGCACACACCTATGGTTTATATAAAAAAGAGTTGAGGATTTTGGCTTTGTTTTATTTCTTTTCTTTTCAGAATGGTTTCAGAGGAGGTGAGGGTGGGAATGAAAAAGCAAAATCATTTTTTCCTTTTACAGGAAATACCAGTTTGGGACCCTGTGAAATGTAGTTTATGGTGAACACACCAACCCTCAGGCCTGTACAGATGCAGCATAACTTTTTTCTGCTTTAGTCCTTCCCTTGTGTTCTCCTCACCAGCACAAAATGAGTCACAGTCAATCATTTCACTGATATCTTGTGTTATTGGAGCCATGGTTCCCTGAGCATTTCTCATAGTGCTAGCAGTAATAGCTGCTCTTGTACCATTAAATCTACTTTTGAGGTTGGTGACATTTTATTCCTAATTCTTGTGATCCTTCTCTTTATGAAGACTCTCCATTACAATAGTCAAATACAAGGGAAGGGGGTAAAAACATCCTGATTCATTTTTCAGACATCTTCTTCCTGAAGTGCCTGTGCAGCACTTCACACATAATAATCTGTTCTTCCATAAGTATCCTCAAAAATATAAATTTAAAAAAACCCCACAAAAACAACAAAAAACAAACAAACAAAAAAACCAAACAAGGGCATGATGGGGACAGAAAAACCTTCACTTTTTTCACATTCCAAGAACTGGCATCTTTGATCAGATGCTGGAGGGAAATAGCCAGTTGGCTTAGGTGCTGTGCAATGTTGGTTGACTCCAGCAGAGAAAGCTTGAATGGCTGCTAATCACAGCCTTTGGAAAGCTTCCAGGGAGCCTGGGGCAGCCAGAAGGTCTGACCCACTAAACGAGCCTCATCTGAACAGCCTTCCTTCTGTATTTACAGTTTTAACCCTTTAACATGCCCATAGGATAGGCATTCAATGGTTTTTTGTTTGTCATTCTTAAACCGAGAAAGCATTAGACATCATTCTTTAGCTAAAAGCACTTACCAGCGTAAGGCATCTTCCCGTAGGTGATTATTTCAAACAGAAGTATTCCAAACGACCAGACATCCGACTTAACACTGAATTTGTTGTAGCGGATTGCCTCCGGGGCTGTCCATTTCACTGGGAGTTTAGTTTCGGGCCTAGCTTCATATACGTTTTCATTTTCTACCTGTCATGGGTAAAACAAAGCAAGCTTGATTTCAGATTTGCTTCAGTAAAGCATTTAAGCACCTGACTAAAGCAAGAGTGTGCTTAATCTTATCCTCTTTTAGCTGAGCACTTGCCTTTCATGGTATTAAAGCATGCACTTACTGAAGTCTATTGTTGAATTGGGCTTCACAGTTGAGAAATGCTACCGTTCATCAGAGGCTTTTCTAAAACATCTATCATTTCAAGCGAGCACGCAGTGTTGGAGTGGCTTGTGATTAATTACGACCTGCTACTGTGAATTCTGGACCTGGCATGCAAGATTTCAAAAGTCTATCAGGAGCAGCAGTGTAAGCATCCTGCTGACACTAGAGACCACATGGCTCCACGTCTGGTCTTCAGCAAACAGAAGAGGCAAGAGCAAGAGCTAATGAATTTCGTAACCTTTCTTGTGTGATTTATTAAGGTGTTGAAGGGCCATTGACTTTGATAACAATCACTTACGTAGGTTTCAGGTACCAAAGAACAAACTCCAAGTGATTCACATTAACATATTACCTTACAGTGGGTCCAATTAATGCATGTAAAGTGAAGATGAAAGACACATAGAAAAAGGAAAATTGTTTACTTGCAAATTTGTAGAATTGTGTCCTTAAAGTTTTATAGCACAGACATCTAAACTTTGTGAACATTTATTCTCTCTTTAATTCCTAAACCTAATTTAGTGTACATCAGTCACATCCAAGCCTTGGTCAGGTTTTTTGCATGCAAATCCAGGCAAATGTGTACAAAATTTTGTTTGATTGATTGTTTTTAATACAGAATGTATGTTTCCCAGCTGTAATGCCCTATAGTTTGAAAAGACTGGTCGTTAGTGTTTTGTACCTACATACTGATACAGTTGGCATCTTGACCATAATACTTATCTCTAGAAACAAGAAATTATTTCATTATGCTAATTAATGCATACAGATTTCATTTCTCACACCTACCCCTTTGGGATCTTTGCATGTGACTACGTTAGTGCTGTAGCTTGGGAGGCAGAAGATTCCTAAGAAAGTCTGCCAAGATGACTCTATGACAGAGTATTTTAGTAAAGTTCAGTTTTAACAAGAAATGCCAGCAGCTGTAAATTATTACCATCTCTAGTGAGGACAGAGGAGAAATATCCATTGTAAAGCATTGTTCATTTAAAAATATATATTTTTCATGTTAAAAAATGTGCAATCTGAACTTATGCATAACTAGAAGAATCAAAATTAAGCAAAAAGCACTTTCAAAGTCCCTTGATGCCATTGTCAAGCCATTATTCTATACTTTAGTATGTAATAAATCCAACTCTGTTATGAACTTCAATTTCTGCTGCTTGAATGGGAAAAAACAAACGAGAGGCAGAGGGCTTTTTTCTCTGTTTTTCCTTATCAGTGCAAGAACATAAATCAATAAAAACAACAATAAGACCTCAGAAATTATGGATTACATATTGAAATACATAAAATATGGCAAATCAAATCTTTCCAACTCTAAACAAATCATTTTCAGAGGTAGGAAATCTCATTTCTAAATCACAGCTCTTTTCTAGGGTGATCTTGATGCACATGGGTCGGCGCAATCCCAAGCACAACTACAGCCTGGGCGAGGAATGGATTGAAAGCAGTCCTGAGGAGAAGGACTTGGAGGTGTTGGCAGATGAGAAGCTCACCATGAGCCGGGAGTGTGCGCTTGCAGCCCAGAAAGCCAACCGTGTCCTGGGCTGCATCAAAAGAGGCATGACCAGCAGGTCGAGGGAGGTGATCCTGCCCCTCTACTCTGCTCTTGTGAGACCCCACCTGGAGTACTGCATCCAGCTCTGGGGGCCCCAGTACAGGAGAGACAGGGAGCTGTTGGAGAGAGTCCAGAGGAGGGCCACGAAGCTGATCAGAGGGCTGGAGCACCTCTCCTGTGAGGACAGGCTGAGAGAGTTGGAGTTGTTCAGCCTGCAGAAGAGAAGGCTCCAGGGAGACCTTATAGCAGCCTCCCAGTACCTGAAGGGGCCTACAGGAAAGCTGGAGAGGGACTGTTTACAAGGGCACGGAGTGATAGGACAAGGGGTAATGGGTTTAAGCTGAAGAATGGTAGATTTAGATTAGATGTTAGGAAGAAATTATGAGGAAGGTCATGTGACGCTGGCACAGGTTGCCCAGAGATGCTGTGGATGCCCCATCCCTGGAAGTGTTCAAGGCCAGGTTGGATGGGGCTTTGGGCAACGTGGTCTAGTGGAGGGTGTCCCTGCCCGTGGCAGGGGGGGTTGGAGCCAGATGATCTTTAAGGTCCCTTTCAACCCAAACTATTCTATGATTCTACAATTCTATGATCTTGATCAGCGTTAGTGGTATTCTACATGCTCAAGGGCCGGAGGAAAAAAAAAACAGTGCAATAGCAAAGAACTTGAAATTGCATCATATTTAAAGCTCTGAGAGCTCACTTTATGAATTCTGCTGTTAGTCGTGGAGAGGAATAAGGTTCTTTTATGATTACTACCTGTACTTGTAAGCATCACGGAGGCAGTAGGGAAGTGAACAAGGAGAGACTAGCTGTCAATACATCTTTATATACCTTCCCTTACAAGCTCAGGAATATAATTCTGGAAAAATTACTGTGATGTCTCTCCATGCAGCAGACATGAGTGTTGTGGATAAAGGTTGTGCAGCAAAGGGTATGGCTTGCCAGGCTCCTTCCTTGGTGACTGAGTGGGAAGCAGACACTTGGATGCCACCTTCAGACTGACACAAAGGCACAGGAGGCTTCTAACCTCAGATGGGATAACGCAAGTAGAGGATTCAAGTGAACAAGTTTGGGGTCCTTTTCTCCCCGGGCATGCCTTTTGCCTGAACCCAGCAATTCCGAGGCTACAGTTTGTCCTTTAGTTGACCTCCTGCGCCTGTTCCCCAGAGTTAAAGTAGAGCCAGTTCACCCTCTGACAACCCACCTTAAAAACTCTTGCAAGTCCAAAGTCTGCTACTTTGTAAACACTGTGTTCACCAACAAGAACATTCCTGGCTGCCAGATCCCGATGGATATAGTTCTGAGATTCAAGGTAAGCCATCCCGGAAGCCACCTGAGCAGCCATGTCTACTTGATGTGGCAGGAAGATTTGGGAGCCCGCATCTTCTGTTTAAAAAGAAGATGACAAGGATAACATAATATTTACAGTATTCAGATATAAATAACAGGTGACTGGTTCAAATAGCCAACACAAATCAACAAAACCATGCAATACAATAAAGTAACAGCCTGAACAAATGACAGAGGTTAGTGAATGACACTACGTAAAGTCAATGACACTACTTAAAGTCATGCAGCTAGTTTCGCAATAACTGAGTAACAATGCCTGCCCCATTCTCTCTAAAAGCATAGATACTAAATGCAGCAGTTGATCTAGGCCTGGAAGGAGCTTCGGACACAGTCCAAAGGAAAAGGTGTTTGTCTACCGATAGTAATGCAGATGTTTGCCTTTCTGAAAAGTGCATAACCCCTTCCACACTGTGAGTAAGAGTTAATGTCACTACTCACTGGATGTAGCCAAAGCTGACTAAAGATGGAGAAGAACAAAATTATGCTGGTTGCCTGTTTACCAATAATTCTTACTAGGAAATATACCATCTGCTGTCAAGCATAACTCATTTTCCCTTTCCAGTCCACTTGACTGCTTGCACGCTGTTATCTCAGTTGCTGTTACTCAACAGTAGGACTCCTTCAGCTGCTTTCAAGCTGCCTGCTTCTCTTGTAGAACTTTCTGAAGCAATACCATTCCCACCACTGTAAGATCAGCAAGTCCCAGAAATAGAGAAATCAAAGATTGGCTGTTCAAAGTAAGTAGCAGAAGAACTTTGAGCAGAGCAACTTGCCTCCACAAATGAAGGAAAGAAGTCAAATTCAGGGGCTTTGAGGCATTTTGGAGACATCTGACCTCCTCATAGCAAAGAATTGATACTCAAAGGTAATCTAGGCAAAGCGAATAAGTGTTATATTTAAGCATTGCTGTCGCCCAAACCCAAAAGCTGCAGCACTGAAGCATGAGTGCCTACCTCTCTAGCCTCTACTACTCAAAACAGTTTCAACTTTCTGTTTCAGAACCTTAAGAATATCAAAAAACCGAGTGTTTGCTGCTAGGTTTATTGGTAGTTCTCCTTTCTCGTTTGAGGATGGTGACTTTTCCTTACTGCCTCTGTGGTAAAGAAATAAAGGATTTGTAGCTGGCAGTTTTCTGTTGCTTATTTTGAATTGACTCCTAGTGAAAGTGTCTCTTAGCATTGTTTTGCGTCACTCCAGTTCTAGCATTTTATCTGACCTAACCTTCCAATCAACCCTTATGAAAAGTGTGAAATTCCATTGTTTACTAATCTATTCTGCAATCTCCAGGCCTTGAATTTCCTGTTCATCTGCATGTTCTGAGATGAATAGGTAAAATAAATTAATTTTAAATGATTAAATTTGCCCTGTTTGCGTATTGTCCTACTTCCTTTTTGAGGCTAAACTCATTGTCATGATAATTGAACACTAAGATTATTTACTTCTCTTGTTGACTCAGAAAGTCTTTTCCTCTCCCACACATATGTTTAATAGCTGTCTTGACCTTTAAAAGAGAGAGGGAGAAAAATAAGGCTTTGTGAAAATCTATGGCTTAACCATCAAGACAATCCATCACCAGGCCACAGAATAATATAACACTCTGAAGTTTTGCAGTTCTGATAACTGGCAGACATCAACATTTATTATTCAGCTCGTTGGACAAAGATATAAATCCACAAATGATGCTTATGTCATATTTTATTAGAAAATAACTAAATATGTACAACTACCTTGCATGAGTACCTGCGTTTTGGAAACTAGCTTACGTGACTTAGTTTAAAATCTCTCTCTCCATGTTCCCTTTCACACTGCTTCTTCATGTGCACAGGCTGCAAACTACCTCCTGGTGAAGTGAAAGCAGACAAGGATGCAGACAGACTTGAGCACAGGTGCGTCATTGCTCTGCTGCTGCTCCAGGCTGACCTGAAATAAGCTTGGTCCAAGAGACAAAACACAGCAATGTCACAGTGAAAAAGAATAACTCATAAGCCTCATGTTTTATGAGCTGCTTCAGTGCAGAATAGGAGTTAGAGCTGCTAAACCCTCCCTGTCTTATTCCCTGCAGGACACACAGGTACACCATGTTAATGGACAAGGACGAGATCTACCTCTAATGGTGGAATTGCAGCTGAAAGACTATTTCTTCCACTGGGGCCAGTTTGGGATCCCAGACCAGGCTGTCCTCCTGCCTCTAGCATGTGGGCTGAGGGAGGGGAAGAGGCCACCATTGCCCTGGCTGCTGCAGTATTTCTTGGTGGGTTTCTCCCTGTGGGCTGGTTCTGCGCTGCTGCTGTTCTGGAGCTAAAGAAGGGAAAGCTGTAAGGAGGGGCTTCAGCTGATCAGGAGCTACAAACTGTGCACAGAGACAGAGGATGAAATCACGGGTCTCTTTGGGATGTGAAGTGTAAATCACGTGTGGTTGTTTCATAAAGATTTCTGACTATACCTCCAAAATCCCAGGTTGGGCCAGCCAAAGCACACCAGTTCAAGCACAGCGCTGCATAGGTACAACTACGGAGGTTTCCAGACCAGAGCCAGCTCCCACCTGGCTGGTTCAGAGCAGGTTGGAAGAGTTTAAAGCTGTATTCATATGGGTATACATGTGCTTTAGTTTGTTTTAAAGTGTTTTAAGGAGAAAAAACTACAACAAAAGCCCAAAGTTTGTATAACTTCACACTCAAAACCAGGCACTATTGGTGAATTTATAAAACCTTCCCAGAGCTTATTCTTTATTCCATAAAGAAAATGTAGTGCCTCCATGTCCTTTTTTACTAATATTTTTTGACAAAACTATTGCCCTTATATGAAAAATTTATTAGAGAAAATATTAAAGAAGGCTTAGGGTCTGCACCCTGTTCTAAGCAATCAATCACAATATCTCATATAGGAAAGACAGGAAAATATTCTCATTGACAGATGCCTGACAATGAATGAATGAATAAATAAATAAATAAAGCAGCACTTTCCCCAGTTGAGAGCATTGCCTCCATAATAATTCACCGAATTTCAAGACTGCCTCCCCCTAGGTCTATCAGAATTGATAAAAACACTCATATATTTATGACAATTTCATTCACATCCAATAACAAAGAAAAGTTTTCTGTTGCATCTTTCTTGTATGGTGGCAGCTCAGTAACTCTGCATAGCACTGTTCATCAAGAAGTATCCCAAAGTAGATTCACAGGGTGCACAGGGAATTCACATGCCCATCATTATTAAGCAGCTGTCATTATGGTGGAACGTGATAGTCACTATGCATGAAATGTTAGGAATTTTTAAAGCTGGAAAAACACACTATGCATTTATAGGAAGGGAAATTTAACCAGAGAATGATCTCTGGAGCTTCCCTCTATTCCAGTTTACCATATTTATCCATAGGGTACACAGAGACAGCAGCCTTTTGAAAATGTTTTCCTGGTTCCTGAAGTGGCTGAGCCTCAAGAACGCTTATCAGGAGCTGTGCGCTGACCGCCAGACGATACAGATCACATCCAGTCACAGAGCTCTACGCAAGCTTCAAATCACTTTCCTTATTACTCTTACTGACGGCAATGACTTTTCTCTGAGCATTACCTATCAAAGCACCTGGATCTCTGCCTCTGCCTCCTAGTTCTGTTTATCCCGTTGTGCGTAGGCCATCAGACAAGGAGAGATACCACTAGGCTGGGTTTCAACTGGCCATTTGTACCGTTATCTTGACAGCTGCCCGGAAAACAGCTGACTTTCCACAGCCTCTCTGATGCAGGGCTACAGGAACGAGCGCTTCGGCAAAGATCAGGCTGCGTACATGTGCTGCCTACAGCAAAGGCAGCTGCCGTGCACGTGCTGGCAACTGATCTACACGCAGGCTGCGGCACTGGTGTGTCCTGGACACGTTGTACTCTGTGCATAAACAGGCCAATTTTCACCTCTGCAATAGCTGTGACTCATCCTGGCTTTCTCAGAGCTATTTCTCCAGTGCAATAAATGTTTTCATGCACAGCAATCATTTCCTGATGTGCCAGGCTCTTTCAATCAGATAAGCAGCAATCTGCACACAAAGGCACCAGAGATGAGAATTTAAAGGAAATTTGTGCCTTGCTACATCTGGCCACTAAACACCTACAAAACTTTAAATGCTCTGTGCCCTCTTCTTTGTATCGTTCCCCCTGGGGCTGTCCCTCTACCAGAGATTTCTTTAGCTGTAATTGTCCCTGGACTGAGCTTCACTTAAAAAATGGTTCCACAAAGAAGATGGGGGAAGGCATGTGTCATGCCAAATACTCTCTGTGGTATTTCACAGGGCTTTGCCTTATAGGCTGGAGACAGAGAAGAAATTTAGCAAGACAATCGCAGTGAACATTTTGTCTTCAAGAGATCATTATAGCTTTAGAGACATATAGCATCTCAGAGACATCTGCTAAACTGAAAATGGGTAATAGCACCAGAATCAAACATTTCTCAATAGCAGGGGTGAACTTAAAGTGCAATCATTATGCTAGTCTGTTCCAGGCTCTACAACTTTATTTTTAATTATTATTTGCCTTCAAAAGAGCACTTTGAAGTGCTGCTGAGATAACAGCCCTGATGCAATAGTCAAGGGACAAATTCGCAGTGAATGACTGTCCCTGCCTAGTAATAGATTTCAAAGCTGTTAAGTACATTTTGTGGAAGTGCCTCTATTTCATGTGAAATATGATGACCTATCCTTCTGTATGCTTATATTTTTATTCTGTCAGTGTATGTTCCCAACTACTCATAGAACCGGGTGGAAAAATGTGGGTCATTATAAGGCAAGAATCAAACTGTGAATGTGATTCTGTCCTACTTCTCCAATATTTTGGCACGTCGAAAATTCATAAACCTCTTTCTTTCCTCTTTTCTCATCCCCACACACGACAAATAATGAAGCTTTTGTATTAAACCAGAGTGTTATACTTCTCTCTTTTATGTTTGTGTATTTACTAAACTGACAGCTATGGCACCCCTTGAAATGAGTTTATAGTCATTTGCTTACTTTGAAGGTATTCTAGAAGACTTCCATATCTCATCAGCTCAGTAATAATATAAATTGGGTCCTCCAAAGTACAAACAGCATAAAGCTGTATAAGCTTTGGATGTCTCAAGTTCTTCATTATTTGTGCTTCCCTCAGAAAGTCCTTTGGATCCATTGAACCTGAAACAACAGCATATAACAAAACATAAGCTGAGGTTATTAAAGGCCTTCCTACCAGCCTGGCAGTCTTAAGGGAATAACTGAGATGATTGTTTTCTGTCTTTCAAAGTACATTAGCATCTCAAATCTTCACAGTTCCCGCAGAAAACAGACAGTGCAGCTGAAATAAACAGTTAATGAGTGAAACATGCCAGTTGCGCAGGGACAGAGAACATATGTGTTCCAGTCACCAGAAATATAAAGGCTAAAATTAACCACCCCCAGGCCTCCCCCAGGCAGAAAAAAGTCAGGCTAGAATGTTAACTGATATCATTTAAGCAAACAATTATGTTACAACTGGTTAATGAAACAGCCAGAAACTGAGCTAAGAGTGCCTAGGTAATGAACATAAAAATTCTGACAGAAAAATAGTGCTGCAATAAGAATTTGTTGCACTATTTTTTCTGCTTCAGCAATCAAAGCCTGAAAGCATTGAAATCACTTTAGCATACAAGGAGTGGATGTGTGCATTTTATATACATAAATACAAATAACTATTTATAATGTTCACATAATGTACAAATATATATCCACAAATATTCTCATAGTGATCTGGAATAACCTTATTAGAAACACCAATGTATGCACAGTAATTTTACACTCCCTTAAATGCAGAAGTATCTTAACAGCTAACGATCCCAACTTTTTAAGTGTTACATAAGGTCATAATATCTCTAGTTCTATTTATATACACAATGAGTCAATGCATAAACTATGTCAAAGAAACAATACATAAATTGCACAGGGACCTAAAGCCAGTGGTAAATTTAGGAGCTTATCTGTCCTGAATAAGGGGCTGATTAGAAAAAAAGCATGCACAAATAAGGAAGAAAAGCTTTCTCTATGGATGATCCAGTAGTGATCAGATATTCTCAGATGTTTGTGGAAGACAGTAAATAACATCTACTTCACAATACGTGTTACAAACAAATGTGAAATTATCCAATGACTCACATGTTTCCTTCCTCCCAAACCTAAATAGTTTCATTAAGAAAAAATTACAGTGAAGGTTTGGGGGAAAACAATCTACCCAAGTCTACTCTGCTTTATGCCGTGTCTAAAAACAAACTCTTTTCTTAGTGTAAGCAGACTGAGTGATTTGAGAAGGCGAGGCTGCAAGAGTAAGAGTCTTTATTTTATGGGTTTTTTAACATTAGGTAACTGGCAAGATTCATTTGGGAGTTTGCCTCTGTTCCAAACATGGATGTTTAAATGAAGTGAAATGCTAGGAGGATGCTAAATGGCTCAGCAATAACATTGCACCAGAAAATCTGTTCTACAGAACGAACTGGCAAATCAGCCTGGGCCACCTTCACCCAACACCTGTCTTGAATGCCATCTCCTGACAAGTGCTCCAACCTATTTCCCAAAACACAGCAATGAGTACATCAGGGCGAGGAATGACTCAGAAATGCTTCTGACACAGATTTTATGAAAAAACAGCCACTTGACATTGCAACTTTTGAGAGTAAAGATTATTGCAAGGGACAGGTACTCCTCTCTCCCGTGTCCTCATATTTTCCTTGGCAATCCCACAGGGTCCAATTTGACAATATTTTATAGGATGACATTAGGAGCTATGGTGAAAGGCAATGGATTTCTATGCCATCAGTAAATGGATTGTAGCCAATAATACGTCTCCTCAACAGGTACAGGCTATATCCATTTCCTTTCGTAACTGTCAGAGAAAAGTGGGGGCCTGCATGAAAAGTAAATGACTCATACTTGGTCTGGATAAAGCAGAGATTATGACAGCCAGGTGGAAACCCCAAATATCTGTAATGCTAATGGTATGTCCTTTTCCTGTTTAGAGCAGCACAATCTTTACAGCTTTATTGAAATTTCCACAAATCCTAAATTTAAAAAAAAAAAAAAATTAAAAAAAACCAAACTAGAGTTATCTTTAAAGGATTTGGACTTACTTTGATACTGATTAATATTGTGGCCCATTTGCTTACTCTTTTCAAGATATATGTATTTGTTGTGGAAATCATCCTAAAGTCTACAGAGAAGCTGCACAATGTGAGGTATTTTGCCTCCAAAGGTAAATGCATAAGCATGACTAGTGATGTAGCATCAATGCCAAAATTTGACATGTTGCTCCTAAAAAGGATAAAGTATTTGCTAACTTAGGGTCTACCAATCACCTGCCCTCTATGGATCATTATACAGGATTTCTTCACACCATAGAAAATGACAGTCTGATTTGTTCCCATCATCAAAGTTTGCCTACAAGGAATCTCTCAGTTTAATCATGCTATAAACTTCTTCCAACAAACTGAAACCGAGCAACATGTTTTTCACATATGACAACTTCCAATAAATTGATCAGGAGAAAGTATTCTATTAGCTGAATAGCAGCAAATCCTTCTTTATGTTGTAAAAGTAATTAATAATAATAACAACAATAACAAACCAGTGACAAAGATCAACAACTATTTCCTGCATATTTTAAAGAGCATATGTAACCTTCAGTTTTACATAGTTTGTACCTTCAAATAGCACAGATAGCTATCTTTAAATAGCAGATAGTAACCAAAACCCCCAGAGCCATGTAGCTCTTATACTGTAGTTAATAAGTGCATTGGATGCTAACTAAAAAAATTTAAAAGTGTCTTTATCAGTGTTTTGTCTAAGATTAGGTTTCAGCAACTAGATAAGCAAAGTAAAAACTGCCTCTAAAAACAAGCGAACATGCTTGTAACAAATTAGTTAGCTAAAGCCTATCACAATAATGGCAAAGAAATCACAAGACATTTCTTTGAGGAAGTTTATATAAATTAAATATATAAAATATATACCACATGGAGTTTCAAATAACTGGTTGTTTTTTTTTTTTTAGTTTGTAGTTGAATTACATGTGTGTTTTTAATGAAGTATACATTTTCAGCTCTAAGTGGTAAACACAGTACGAAGAGCAGATTACCATAAGTAGAAACCACTTGATCAAAAACCAACTAGTTAACAGAAACCTTTACTGAAACAGCAGGTATCACTTGTGTAAAACACCAGTTTGGGAGCAGATTGATCTGTACCTGAAGAAAATATGGTTTTCATAATTTGTTTTTTGAATGAAAAACGTTTTTGTAAATGTCAAAGCCCTTCTTAAGAACAAAATGTTGGAATATGTTTCTTTGATGTGTTCTATTATGTGCTGCTCTGCCAGAAATCACCTCTGATTTAAGCCTATTTAAAGCAGGAACATTGGTTCTGACCCTTTCTGAAAATATTTTCTTCTAGAATTGAGGAAGCTTCACATTACAAGATAAACACTGATAATATGGAAATGAGTTAGAGAGAAAGGTCACTTATTTTTATGTAGTTTCCACCAGCCTAAATGTAAGTGGTCCTTAAATATATAAGTCCCTCCAGAGACTTTTTGTTTGCAACTTTCAATAAACCTTCCCAAATGACTTCAAAGTAACCTTGTACTTCAGAGCAACCTTGTCTTCTGAATAAGTTTATACAAAATGAACTTATGTGCAGAGTATATTGAGCATATACTGTGATCTTCTGAAAAAGTTTATGTGTAATAAAGAAATAACCATAAAGAAGCACACGTTCTTGGTTACACAAGAGACTCAGCATAAACTATTCACATGGCTAACAGGAGAATGAGAAAGGTAGCTGACAATCCTCAAGCAGCTTTCTCGCCATACAGAAGTGAATTTACAAGTTAGTGTAAGGTTATGTACTGAACTAAATAGAACAAAATAATTTCTTTGTTCAGGGAAATTGGGAGACTTTCCTGAGTGCAAAGCTTTTTACACTGCATATGCACTAAAGAGATGACATAATGAAGAACTGAAAATATTATTAAAACCTCTGCTGACAGTACCACCTCAGAGACTATTTTGAGAAAGCCCCTGGGAAAAAAAAAAAAAAAAAAAAAAAAGTCATGCTGGAGCAGAGTCCAGGCAAAGAGAGAAGCTTGGGAGGTGTTTTACAATATGATAATGACAAATGCATCTGTCACCTTTAACAGGCATAAGGAACTTTCTCAGATACGACTAATTGGTGATGATAGATGTCTGCTTTACATGCTGACAGTTGGAGAAGCAAACTAGCCCTGACAATAGGTTCTAGAGAATCCATCACACTCAGCACAGGACAAAGTGCAAATCCCTGCTGCAATGACTTCCACTTAAATAGAAAAAACAATGTCTCAGTGAGGAAATAAAAACAGAAATGTGAAATTACATGTTCAGGGACCTACAGCAAGACAGTGCTGTGCAGAGCCAAGAACAGAAATATCAATTGCTAGCTTCTAGACCATTTTCCTATCTGCTGATCCCTACACCTCTTTGATGATTGTGGGTCAACAACTCAAAAGTCAGAGATATTCTTAAGGCAAAGATGTTCCTGTGTTTTGTTTTTTCATTCACACATCCATCCCTATGTTTTTGACTGGTAAAATGTCACAGATGTCTCCAAAGCAGAGTCAAAAACCAGTGAACAAATAAGAAAATTATGTGAATGAAGGCATCACATTGCTACTGCTTTTTGTTTATAGTCATAGTGATCAACAGATTGTTTCAACAAGATCTATAGTTCTGTGCCTTCTAGCCTGGGAGCCATACCTTTTAATCACTGTGGCCTAGAAATACTAACATGCATCCAACTTTTAAACCCAGCTGGAGTGTCTTCAACACACTGCTGAAACATTTAAGCAAGTCACTGCCAGAAACTTGAAGGCTGCCACCATTGGTTCATGCAATGCATTTCTTTAGCACAGGATGGTTCCTGGTTATGCGCCTGTATATTCCCCGTGGAAAATTTGGTCCTCGTAGTGCAGTGGACACCGTAACAAACCCACACTACTACATTTTTTCACCTGATGCCTAAAGTAATTGTGTACTCAGTCACAACCCTATAAAAGTTAGGAACTTACATTTTCTTTGATGTTAGGGTTGCTGCATAAGATAAGGAGTTTTATAGACATCTGAAAATGCATTAATGGG